GGCAAATCAATAGGAACCATATGGAGACCTTTATGCCAGCTCATTGCTTGTGTCTCAATGTACTACTTCATTCTGTCAGAAAATGTAATTAAGTATCAGAAACTATTAGATTAGGCAGTTCAGCTGAATGCCACTTTGTACCTCTGACCATCACAAAGTAAAATTGTCCTCCCCTTCATAGTATTGTTTTGCAACTCTAATAGCACAAAGCTGCTTATTTTCTTCATGAGCGTATGTCAGAGTCATAATACTTTGTTAGAGTATTGTCCTGTACTGAAGTCTTTTTCCGTAAGATATTGCTAATATCTTGAAAGGGAAAAAGAAGGCATTTTGCTTTGAATCATGTATCATTGTTCAGTTCTATTGTTGTTTAGCCCTAAAGTTTTTTGTTTCTATATTAGTGGTTTAAATGTAGAGGAATTAAGTTTGAGAGAAGTGTTCTTTCATAAAACATTAAACTAGTAAAGAAATAAGCTTTTCACATTGATTGCTTTGTATAGATTACTTCATTTAAAAATAAATAAGCATGTAGTAGTTTTTCTCTACAAACACTTGAGCATCATTTATAGAGATGAATGCAATTAAAACCATTTAATTTATCCAACCTCACTACAAATTTATAGTGAAATAAGTTTAGAAATTAGTTGTTCATAGAACCATAGAATCTTAGAATAGTTTGGGTGAGAAGGGACCTTTAAAGTTCATCTAGTCCACAAGCTCCCTACAACGAGCAGGGACATGGTAGGGGCTTTCTGAGAATAAGTGTTGAAAGATGTGAGTCAAAGTTGAAAATCTGGATGTTGAATAATAATTCTTGAGGTCCCAATGGCTTTTTGTCCCAAATTAATAGTGATATCTAATAGTCAGTCGCAGAGTCTGAAAACCATCTGCAGTGGCTAATAGAACACTGCCAGTCTCGTTTTTTTTAAATTCTTGTCTGCGATCTTACATTTCTAGTGCTAACTGGAAATTCAGTTCCGTCTGAGAAGTGAAGGTGCATCAGCTGTTGGACTAACCCACATTTTTCCCGTGATTCTTACCCTACACAGTTAGCAGCAGATCTTTATGTCACAGATCTTCTCACCTGTCTCTTTCCTGTGAGCAGGAATTTTTTTCCCTAGGCATGCAGCAAAAGCAAAATATCAAAATGACCGCTTTCCGTATTTGACGTTTTGAGGAGTTGTATTCTCTGTTTGCTTGGCATTCTTCATCTCTTAATGGTTTAAAGAGAAGGAAATATGAATTCTGGCAGGACAATAGAAATGTTGGAATTAACAGCAATCCTTTCCTTAAAGTAAAGTGGATGTAACATTTGAGAGTGGGGAATAGTGTGTTTAATAAAGATTTCTTTGTTAAAAAAAATCGAACTTTTATTAAACTCAGGAAAAATCTAAGCCTCTAAACAATCTGTAGAACAATGATTTATAACTTTGTCTTTCCAAACGGTACCTGCTACATCAGTTACCAACAAGCATTTTTTGTCTAACAGGAGATATTAAAGATGCTGTCTGGAAATTTTAAAAACTGATGAAAACAGTTCTGAAACAGAGGTATGACCTGCAAACCTCAAAGCAGTGTTTAACTGCCGACATTACTTGACATCCAAAGAACAAAAGGTTTACAAAAGAGAGACTGATAAGGTACTAATACCTGCGTGTAGGCTACATCTTCTGAGAGTGTGCCAGAATTTGTCGGGGAGAAGGCAGAAGACAGACAATATGGATTGCTGTATTTTTCATCAAGTGATTTGTACCATCTGTATATATTTTACATGTGCCTTTAGAGAGGCAGGGAGTGTAACTTAGATCCCCCTAGGCTTTGTTCTCTGCCTCTGCACCTACCTTTTGGCATATGATGTAGCCAGTAGAAGAAAACTCAGGTTGTTGGGACTTTTTTCTTGCCTTAGTTGCAACAGCTGCAAAACAGATGTAGGCTGACATGAGTTCTGCCAAAAATCTCTTCCAAGTATCCCACCCATTTTCCACCAAAGAGCAGCTAGTCAGGTGATCGGAACAGAGACCTGAAGGTCAGAAAGAGATGGGAGCTCCCGGTCCTGGCTCTGTAGAGACTGTTAAAAAGAAGCAATCAGAAAACCTAGATTTACTGCTTTGGAAATTAAAACAACCAAAAATTATGGAGGTAACTCTCCTAAAAATTGCTATTCCAAGTAGCATGATGTCAATGGGAAGTAAAAGGCAATTGGTACATGAAGCATAGCAACACTGCAGCAGAGTGTCAGATCACAGCAAGAGTTCCTGACTGGTGTTCACCTAACTGGCATCCATCTAAATCTGAGCTATATTTTCAGTATCTCAAATGCATTAAGCAAAATACCATTGTCTTACTGGCCAGATCTTTGCTGAAACAGATTTCCTAGGATTGCAGTTGTTCTGCTGTGTGAACCTCAGTGCTGGGAAGGAGTCAGCTTCCTCCGTACATCCCTCAGGTTTCTGCATACCTCTCCAAGTTTTTCTTTCAGCAGTATATGAACGTATCATGTACTTTTTTTCAGAGTATCTCGAGTATTGCAAATGCATTCAATGGCATTAGCAACAAATAAATAAAACCCAGAATCTTTTCCAGTGTGTCAGTCTGCTGATGAAGTCATAGTGCAGATGAGACTGTGGCTGCCAGGTACTTAGACTCCGACATTGACTCCAGCAGTGGCAGAAATGTCTAAATAATCAGTTGTCCAGGCATGCTTATATTCACACAGAATCTTTATGGGCTAACATTGCTAGCAGTGCTGAATCCTCTGTGCTGGCAAAGATGAAGGGCAAGTGCTACTCATGCAGTTATGTTTCCCTTTCCTTACGTCAGTATCGCAGGAACGTGGAATTAGATGCTGACTGCATTTGTAAATTGGGAACTCAGAACCACAAGGATTAACCTGAACGATTTTACTGGCTGTACAGTAATTCTGGTTTCCTCATGGAACCATCTGCTTGCAGTAAAATTGCTTGTGTTATAACTCTCAGTTACTTAGAGTTCAGTATCCTCCTGAGAAACGTTTGTATGGGTACTCCTGAAGTCTTTCCTTTGACCATTCACAACAGCAGTAGCTACAAAGGTTTTAAATGCTTGACCTCCACTTTCTGTTGCATTTCCAGGCTTATGTCTTCATTTCTAGTATTTAATATTCAATGTGGTATCAGTGTCACCTGTAGGTACACTACTTTTATTGAAGGTTTCAACCTCTAGTTTGGAAACCAGTGATCTTTCTTCCAGCAGGTACTGACATGGAAAGGCTTTTTGGCTCATGGCATCATACAAGCACAAGTTTATCAAGACAGTCAAGAGGACTTTAGCAATGACATGCATGAAATAGGTTTCTGTGTCATGCTGCAGAAAAGGAGTATGCACACCCACCTGCTTTCAGACATGTATGAAGCACGTCTGTTGGTACAGATATCTTAAGTGCAAACGTGAAGAAAAATGATGTAGGTATCTCTCTTCAGTGTTTCATTGGAATGCTGATATTAGGGGTTTAGGTATTTAAGTTCAGGTCACCCACATAATATTTAGACTGTATAACGAGGCGTCAGACAAGGAAATATCAAGAAAGAGAAGCAACGTGCAGGTTCCTGCAATGGAAAAGTGCAGAGAGCAGTTAACAGTGACTCTCATTTGCCAACTAGTATGCAGGAAGAAATCCAAACTTCTAGGTTTAAGGTGGTTTTGATCTGTCAAGTGTTCTGTGTTGAGTTTGGTTAATGGACCTTGGCCCCCACACTGCAGCCAGTGGGTGTGCTGCCTGATGGGGACCTGTCCTGGAAACTCCCTTCTCCAGTTGAGGCTGAACAGCTCCCAGCGCAGCTTTGGTGGATACCTTCAGGCAGACAACCAGCAGTACACTACATGTTTGAAGCGAAGGTCTGTGTGTCATGTCAGCAAAAGTTAAGAGGTTTGGTAATTTGAAGCCATTAGCTTTAAAACATTTTAAATTAATGATTACGGTACTGAGTCACACATCAACAGTTCTCATTAAAAAAAAATAAAAAATAATTGTTGCTTTCCAAGAAGCGGTGCAACTGACAAAAAGCAAAACCATTTTTCTACCTTTATAAAATGTAAATAGTTGACTGTAGTTTTGCAATCAGACTCGCTGGCCAGTTGGACAGTCTCAGGCATGTCGATGATTCATCTGACACAGAGTCCCAGGGAGTGTTTTCTTGCAGGCCTCTGCATTTGGATGTTGATGCAGGTTTCTATTTAAATCAGCAGCTGAAGTGTGAATTTATCTGTGACATTTTTAAGATGGTTCATGAGGCCAGAATTTGACTAATGATACTCCTACTGATCTCCTGCTAATTTTGGATTTATAGGTGTTGTATCATACCCAAACTTATAAACGTCTGGTCCCTTTTTTTTTTTTTCCTTTCCACTCTTTCTCTATTTTCTATTTTTTTCTTTGCTTTTTTCTAGAGTTTGGTCTCTTCATTATTCTGTTTAAACAGACTTCACTGGCTGACTACAGAATGACTGTCATTGAATTCAGTAATTTGGCTCAGGACCAAATGTACCTGTGTCTGAAAGTGAAAGGAGTCAGGAAGGTGGTAATGAAACTTTCAGCAAACCTTCTGTATTGTATTTGTGGCCAAAATACTCCTTAGGTAATGAACTGTAGGGGCAGCAAATTTCCTATACCAGCTGTAGCATAACCTCTCTAGGAGAGAGATCGCGTTATCACAGAGGATGTGCTTATCGATTATTTTTTGCTATATGTTGAATTTGCTATGCTTTGTCTGTTACCTTTCCCTCAAAGTGGACTAAACCTTAAAGTGCATTTTTTAAAACAGAGTTTTGGCTGGAGGTATTAGAGAAACAATAGGAGATTCTTAAAGTATTACTCATTAAGGCACTAATCGAATGATACACATCCTGTACTGGTTGGATGCACTGAGAGTTGCCAGAAGTGGGAAGGAGTTGAAGCTTTGCAGAAATTCTACAGAGAACTGTTAGGATATGAAACACTGAAAGGTTTTAAGCTAAAGTTTGACATGCATGAATGGAAGCAGCAGCTCACATCTGTCAGAATTATTGCTGCTTTCCTGATTTACAGTGAAGAATCCACAGGTATGAAAGCAAGGGTAAGTTTCTGAGAGAAAGAAGTTCAAAGAATGTAACTTAAACATGTTGTCATCTTTGGGCTTGTTTCCTATTTAGCTGTACACTTGTTATTAATTCCATTTTTTCATCTTTTTTTGTTTTTTCTTTCTTTCAGATTCCCAAGAAGGAAACTACAAGTCAGAGGTCAACAGTAAACCCAGGAAGGAAAGGACAGCTTTCACCAAGGAGCAAATCAGAGAGCTAGAAGCAGAATTTGCTCATCATAACTATTTGACCAGGCTGAGGCGATATGAGATAGCAGTAAACCTGGACCTCACTGAAAGACAGGTACTTGTACAAAATAGTGGATTTTAAATGCTTGCCCAGTATTTACCAATGGTTAGTAGCTCCTCACAGTAGAGCTCTTGTTTGTGTTGCTAATAGATATCCTGACATATCAGATTGAATGTTTATAGCAAAATTATATACATTTATTACCTCCCTACTATGAGAGTAATTTGTATTTTTATATTTTTATATGTACCGGCTGCAGATTAGTTTCGTCTTGTAGGCAGGGATGGAAGATAAAAGCACGAGTAATATATTTGTTAAACTGATGCACATCTTTTCTAATCTGTCCACACTGATGTGACTGGAGAAATGGTAGGTCCCAAATACAGCACGCACAAGCAGCTGATCTGCCTGCATGCAACAAATACGAGCATCTTGTTTTAGTCTATTAAATATATGGAGTTGCCATTTGTCCTGAGTTTCTGAACATCCTGTTTCCAGATGGCAGCAAGAATGGGAACACCAGCAAAACTGGAATACAGGCATTTTTAACCACTTTATCTTACCCTGGGCTGTGAAAGCAGAGGAGATGATGGAATTTCTTATCACTGTTGCTGGTTTCCGGCTCACCAAACCCTGGTCAGGGCAACGCTGCTGCATGTGCTCAAGTTTCATCATGCATGCTGTCGCATTGATTTCTAATGGAAATATTCATGTTAAACATGTACTAAAGTGTTTCAGGATCTCATCCCAACACACTAAACAGGTAGTCAAGTCACGTTCGAAATAATGATTACAACAACATACACATTTAAAAAATGGGTGTTAGTATAGACGTTTAGAATACTGGGCTCAAGTACATCAAATCTGATGAAATATTGCCTACGGCTTTATCATTAAAATTGAAAGTTTTTTGCTCACTGACGGACAGTAATCCTTTCTTCCAGAATCAATATTAGATTGAGGGATTGCTTTACGTGCAGTTAGTAAGATAATGATACCAAGGAAGGATATCAAAATAGCACCATCTTTTGTGAACTCTAGATATGAGAAATTTTGCAAATTTCGTGAGTTTTGGTAACATCTGCTGTAAGTAGACATCTCAGTGAAAATCCAGCATTTTCTATACATATGAACATGCAGGCGAATGAAATAGTTTTTTTCTTTGAAGGCTTCTGGAGAGTGGCTGTTCTTTCCAGTTCATCAAGAAGCAGCCAATAATTTCTCTTGTTTGACTTGAACTCTTTGCCAAGTTCCACTGGGGTCATTCTGCGTTACTTAAATATGTTTGGTTTATTTGTAAAAGCACATCATTTTGTATCAAACAACTGATAAAATTTTGCCTCTCTCATTTCCACTGACTAAGGTAAGCAAAGACAATTAGATTAACTTCCACACTGATTTTGAGAGCCAAGGGGAGGAATGAATTTTCTCAGTGACAAAGGTACATTCTGTGTGGAACTGAGCAATGATAAATAAATTTTAAAAAATATCTGGCCAATTTGACAGGAATCAGTCATGTGGATTCAGAAAACATATCCCCAGAGTTAATAATGGTGAATTTGGCCTGGAATTTACCTATTCTCCCTGATAAATTCTTAATTATTTTCTTCAAAGAACAGGTTGAATAGTAAAACTAAATGAAGAGACAGTTCACTATCCTAAAGGAAATTACTTAAACTAAAAGCATTTAACTTGCTGAAAAGGGAAGGATAAATACTGAATATTGAATATTGTCTCTGGAGGAGAAAAGGCAGCATGTGCTACACAAGTGGAGAGAATTCATTTAAGTCATGGAAGCACTTGCCGCTCTATAACAGTCACAAAATGTCAGTTATAAGCATTCTGCTGATAATTGTGATAATTTCTATAGAATCATAATTAGTCTATCTAATTATATAATCTAATTCTTCTCTGCTTCCCTAGATTATCACAGAGGGACAACTGAGCTTCCAGAGATAACTCCCTTCCTTCCTTCCTTCCTGCCTGCCTGCCTGCCTTCCTCCTTAAATCCACTCTCACTTAGAAAAGGAAAGCATTAAGATTTTTAGCTTAACAGAGTCCAGTTCTGTACCTTGCCACAATAAAATAGTCTGAGAGAAGGGGAAAAAAAAAAAGATAGCATAAAAGTTGTATTGCTCGTTGAAAACAAAAAGAAAACTGAGGAAGTTATGGAGATATTTTTCAGTTTCTGAACCATACTAAGCCAAGTAATTATGTCCCTTCTGATACTGTCACTTAGAAATATCGCTTCTTAAAATCAAATATGTTGCTTTGATGGAAAAAATCATGTAAATAAGCATGGAAGTGGGTGTGGGTTTCCATGGTATATGGCAGTTTTCAGAAGCTGAATGCAGTAAATCAAAAGGCTTAACTCTTGTTGCATACTTGCTTTACATCTGCATTCCTTTAGTGACTTAAAACAATACTCTAGGGTGAACGTGGTGTGACACTAATATTTCTTTTTTTTTCCATTTAAGAGACTGTGAACTCTTATTCACGACCAGTCTTTCTGTCATTAGCAGAATGAATGATTATTCTTGAGTGGGATAACATTACCTATTTGTTTGCTTACTCCTGTTATTACTTTATTTTACTAACTTTTCCAACAGAGGAGAGCATATTTGATATCTGTCTTAAACAGATGCAACAGAAACATTTTTTTTCTAAAATTATTATGATGAAATTAAAATATATTGATGGATTTAAAAAAAAACACTCTCCAGGGAGGTAGCATTTTTATAGCATCACTATTTCTAGGAAACTTTCCCTTTACAATTTTCTTTTCCAAAGGCTGCATTGCAGAAAATGGTACCTGACTGATAGGCAGTAGTTCCTTTGTTTGAAATAAGTGGACACACAAGTGATAACGTCGATCTCGTCACAGGCTGTAGACCTACTTGTTTTGGAAGCTCTCTTGATCTCTTACGGAACATTAAATTCACACATGGAAAATTGCTTCAGATAATGCAATGACAAAACCAGGAGTGAATATTGCATAGAAAATAGGTTTGAGAACAGATCTAGCCCCTGATGGAATGACTTGTTTAGCATAGCTGTTTTTACTATGCTTTGAAAAAATTACAAGCATCGTCTTATTCAGAAGGCAGAAGAACAAAAATAATCTGGGGAAAGTATTGTTGGGTCATCCTAAATTTACAACTATAAGTTATTTCCCAGGATATGAGATAAATCACGAAGGCTATTATCTCAAGAAATCTCTATCTTCCTCTTGACTATGGTGATAATTTCAACCATACGCTGCAGCTTAAAAGAGGCAATGACCAACTAACACTTCATAATTACCTTTCTGGCATTTAAACAAGCTGTAGAAAAAAACATATGTCTGACCATATTTAAAAAGCTATACAAGGGTATTAAAGTTTTCTACAGTCATCAAAGTAAGGATCCATTTGACTTTTGAAACAACTTGCAAGATCAGTTCAAACATAAATGACTCATGGAAGGCCATTTCACAAAAACAATAATGAAAAAAAAGCCTCACAACATATGGATCAGAAGAAGGAAGTAATCCTATCACTCCCTGAAAAGGAAACCTGAGTTACAAGACAGGAGGATGAAATAAAATAAGTGCCTCAATTGCCTAGATAGTAAGAGTGCACTTTGAGCGCATTATAAGCACATCTGGTGGTAGGATGGCTCTATTATGGTATTGCATGAATTCCAAGAGTATAGGTACATATAATTCCTGCTTCATCTCCTATAGAGTGCACTCAGGATCCCTGCTCAGCCAGCAGTTAATAATTTTCAGCTGGCAGGCTTCTATTATATTTTGAAGAGCCAGTTAGACTAAAAACTATGTTAGCTCCCCAGATATTTGTAACCTTGACAAGCGCATTCTTGGCTTTTTTGTACATCCAGATATACTTGGAGAGGGCTCCATGCAAACTTTTTAATATCTCGCTGTGGGATGAGGAGAGGAAGCAGCTGCAGTGGGGTATCAGAGGCGTGGCAAAATGGACATTTTTATGGAGTTGGTCTTGCCAAATATAGAAGGAGTAGGAGATCTTTCCACCTCGCAAGATCTTTTTGCATGGAGCTAATCAAAAGAGTAATGTTGCAGTTCTGCAGGCTAGCTAAGGTTACCGGAATAAACAGTTCAAATATGTAATGCTTCTGCTTGCCAACGAAAACGGAAAATCCCACCTAGTCAGATTAAATTCTGCTGATGGCAACGAGGTTTATTTCATCTTAGCTTTAATTACCAATACTTGTTCAGAAGCCACCAATCATTTATAAAAGACCTGAAGCCATTGATTTTGCATAGGACAAAAGGGCAGAATTTTGTCAAAATGAAGAGTGTTTTTGCATGTGTGTTTGGCTTCCATATATATGCTACCAACACATGGGATAGGTGACAAAATAACAAGATTTTTAATGCCTTTTTCTACCAGAAAGAGAAGAAAGCGGTATTATTATTTAAATGTATTTGGGCAATGTTGGTACCATACCATAACCCACACTGTAGCCCTGCATTGGTACGACTATACAAATAATAAATGAAGTTTCCTATTAGAAGAGTTTTCTCCAGACCTGGTTACCTTAATACTTCATCACAAGTGAGTTCAGTAAAATCCTTTTCAGTATCACAGAGCTCAGGGCAGGCTAATCACTACAGTTTTTGGACTTTACTGGTAAGGTAACAATATCTCCCAATAATCACCCAAGTGAGAAACTAGGGAGTTTGGTGTTCCTCATTTAGGTTTCTGTTCTGAACCAACTCTGGAAGAGTAAATGTTTCTTCATGTGTCACACGGTAGGACTAGTTTCCTACTCTAGGAAGCTAGATTTCCAGGGTTAGATGGTGAAATTATTACCTTGTATACTGTCAAAAAAATCAAACAATGGACCGATAGCACAAGCTTGACTGTATCTGTCTGATTTATTGTGCTGTCATGTCTTTTCTGAAAGGCAGCTGCTCATTCCAAGCTCCCATGTGTTGAATGCTCTCTATATACACTATAATAATGAGCCCATGTGGCTTGAAATCCTTTGGATTATTTGTTTTATTTAAAGCAACACTCTTAATAAAATAA